CATAAAACAGCTAATAAAAAAAACACATGCAGATAAATCCACGGCTTTGAATTCAAAGGGAATTGTATTTATCTTGGCAAATAGGAAGACGGAGCGGCATGGCTGGGAATGCAAATCGAGATACAATTCCAGTGGCATTTTGGAGGGGAAGTGTCCAAGATGAGCTATTCGCCAAACCTGAAACCTCTTACCCTCCCTGACACCCTCATATGCTCTGTATTTATGCTCCGCCCTCCAGGGGTCAGTAGTAGGCCTACAATGTTTTTGCGAAACCTAAAACTAGGTTACTATGTTGTGGCTGTCGGCTTCGTTGATCTAATTCTGTGCTATTGTTGTTATGATCAAAGACAAATGGCAAGAGCTGAGAAAAACTTGTCTTGTCTGAGATATCGAAGGGACGAGAACTCTTAACACATTGTAAAGAAATTGAGAAGCTTCAAATATTGCTAATATATTCCTAATTCCTAATCACTAAAATATTAGTCATCAATTAATTTGCATTTACCATGTTTTAAGAGCATTATTATAGATACCTGAAAATTAGAATTAGACAGAGTTTATAGGCAAAACCTGCTGTTTAGATTTATTTCCTGTTTTCAGTAATAGCCTTTCAATCATCTTTTTACACTGCAATGCATGCATTTTCTCCTATTATACTGTAGCCTAATTTCAGCAATGCAGATTCAAATGCATATGCAACACTTTTATGCTTATAGGCTTCTTATTTTAGAGGTATTTTTCCAGCATCAAAAACTGCTTTACAAAAAAAAGGAGAATTTGAAATGTTGGAATATCATAAAATTAAGATCAGACTTTTTATTTTACTTTATATATATTTATAAAACACTCCAGGTTTAAAATACCATGTGCACTGATAATGACAAGTCAGAAAGTTTAATCATTTTTAATTGAAGAATTCTGCTACATGATGGCCCAAGAACACTTTTTACAAAAGGAAAATTTGATTCATAAGTCAGTACAGCAGCACCTTCTGTTCTGGAGCAAAGCAGTGAGTGAGTAGTATATCCAATGAATTAAAGGTATAGTTCATCCAGAAATTGAAATTAATTTACTCACCCTCATGTCGTTACAAACTTGTGTGACTTTCTTCTTGGAGAGAAAGTTATAATGATCTTTTATTTTATTTATATGGAAAGTCGTTAAGTTATAGCATCAAAGGAGCACAATTTCAAGTAAGGGGAACCAGGGGATTGTTGTTATCAGATAAACATTCAGTCACATAAATTACTCTGGACTGATAATCAAATCCATGCTTTCTAAACTTCCTAAAACCATTATGGAGATACATCAGAAGTTACTTTGTGTTGCACATCCTCTCCTTATTCGCCCTGCATTACTTCTAAGCATTCAAGCTCAAAGGTCATTCAAGTGTGCTTTGGAGTTGACCTTCTCAGTGAGGTCAGGGTGTGAGTGCATAGTTTGGATTTTAAAAGGGTGGGTTCTTGTTGGTTTTGTGTTGTATTTCACAGTAAAAGTACAATAAAGAGATTCATACACCTTTTGATGCATAAAAATATACTGACACACCTCTACACCATATTACACTGCATTGATTTATTCTTAGGGAAATCACAAACCTAAATTTCAAATACAATTACCATATTTAACTCTTTGTATTCTGTGTTTAATTGTTAGATAATTCATCAGAGCCCCATCAAACTCACAAGAGAAGTAAACAAAGACTGCTTGTGGTTTGGAAGAACCAATATAATGGTTCTGGTTAGGCCAGTGGGGTTTTCCTGCTGAGGCTCCCAGCAAGACTTCACTTAAAAGTCTGGTTTGAATTTAAAGAGGCATGTGATACCAGATTATAGCAGATACACAGATAAGAACCAAAAGTCTGGCTAAGATTGTTTCTCCATGTTCTCTACTATAAATGACCGACGGTATTAACAGATTCACTTTTTTATTGCTCTGAGAGACATGCAATGCTTGTGCTAGATTAGGTGGTGTATTTTCTAACAAACCCCAAAGAAAACTTCAAATTTGATACACCTTTTTAAGGATTCGTATTTTTGTTTGTTATAATTCGTAATAGGAAAAAGGGAAAAGCAGATGACACAACACTGCTTCGAAATCTTTTGCTTTCATTTTATAAATTTGTGATCAAATGAGAATTTAAATTTGATTATAGTGCATTAACCTTAAAATGTTCTCATAGTCTAAATGTAAGTAAATAATAATAATAATTAAAAAAAACTTCCATCCCATCATCCCTGTGGTTTTACATTACCTTGTGGTCAGATTTTGATCAGGCGAGGAAATGGGATGCAAGTTGTGACTATCTGGGCTTCCTGTTTTCCTCTCCAACTCATTTGGGGAAATTCTCCACCATGAGCTCATCCCCATCTATGCAGGTGAACGTTCCTGGGGTTAACCAACTGTATACACCTATGACCTTTGCACGTAAAATAACCATATCATGTATCTATGTGTGTGTATAGGATGAACTGCATCATTCATGTGGGCATATGAGTAAGTGAATATGTTTTCCAGCTTTCTTTAACAAAGATGACAATGTTTTGCTTACATAAGCACCGTAGGTTGACGCAGTGACAAAGCTACGAGCCCTTAGTCCAAGAGGCTTACCAGGGGAGGGAAAAACAACATCTGAGGCTCATAGTGGGGCATTAAAAGTAAATTAAGCCTCATTAGTTTTTTTGTGCTCTCCTGCACCTGCATCTTTGGTACACTCCCATGAAGTTAAAAAGGCAATTCAAACATTAACTTAGACATACACAAACACTTTTCATAATGTAACCCATTAATCTGTAATCACCGATTTGAAAGATTGACTGAAAATGTTCTTCATATTTGTGATTATTGTATTGCAACCTCTTGATCATCGCTAACACATTATTTGTGGTATGTTAGTCATTACAGACACTGACAAAAAACATATGTAGAATGTGCAAAGATCTGTGGTCTTTTCAACACTTCTGTAAACAGAATTCAAAAAGCATGGGTTTCTTTTTTGAGACATTAAGAGATTATATTGGCTTGTTGTCATGTAAACTAAAATGAGATCTTAATTCTTTTTTTTGTGGTTAGCCATGCATGGTGTGATTACTTCAATGGTGAGTTGAATTTAAAATTATGTTACGAAAAAAGATGAATGCAAGCAATGTATGATTTTGCTTGAAGAGTAGGTTTGTCTCCATTATCATTTGAAAGGGGGTTCTCTCTAGTGTTCAGGGAGCAGAGTGGAGTTTGAACCATATTTCCATTGAAAAAAAAGAGACAAATATAAGGAATCTAATTGATAAATCTTTTTGTAATTTGCTTATTTACTAAAAACCATCTGAATGAACCGATACACTAGAATGAATATGACTTTACAAGTATGAGAGGCTGTATCCAAAATCAAATACTTCTTTAGGCCTACTATTTAGTAGGTCACCTGCATATGTGGATGCGCTCATAGTGGAGAATTTCCCCAAATGAGTTGGAGAGAAAAACAGGAAGCCTAGAAATTAACAACTCGCATCCCATTACCTCAGCTGATCAAAATCTGACCACAAGTTAATGTAAAACCAAATGGATTACGGAATGAACTTTTTTAACAATGTATAGCCTAGGTGAAAAGTCCCAGATGACCTACTATTTGGGGCAAGATTCTGACTTTACTCTCCCATGAGGCCACGGGAGAACATTTGTGAATGGCAGTAAAGAGATGCTAGTTAAATGATAATGGCAGCATGACGAATATAGCAAGTCCGGATTACATTCATGCTACACACACATTTATACTATGTAAAGTCTAAATTTTTAACTGTCACTAATTATTTATTCAAAAGAAATAGCTACCTACTCAAAAAGTATGCAATTGTGGATGCAGCCAGAGAACCATTTAAAGGGATAGTTCACCTTCAGTTGCTGGTCCCCATTGACTTTCATAGTGTTTTTTCTTCTGCATACTTTAAGTCAATGGGGATGGGGACCAGCAACTGAAGGTGAACTATCCCTTTAAGAATAAACTTTCCAAAAGCTATATCTATGGACTGTTTAGGAAGAACTGACTCATTAAAATGACAGTAGGGGACAAAACTATAGCTTACAAGTATTTGTCTCCGCTCGCTCTGCAATAAAGTAATAAATGTGATTTCAAAAAAGTTTTGAGCCTTAAGAACGCCACACGCGGAATCTTAGCTAGCCTACCTCTGTTTCATTTCCTTTGCCATCGTTTTATTCGTCAGAAACATTTTACAAATCACGAGACTATTTTGTTGTTTCCATGAATAAATAGTCACTATAAAAGTGAGACAAACCCGACGTCTCACAATATTAGCCACAGTGTCGCACACTACAATCAGAAAAATAGCGGGCGACTTAGAGATGAGAGGATGCCCGAAATAAAAAAACACCCTACCTTATGTTTGTATTTGTGAATAAACACTTTACAGAGTATATATGCTAACCAGGTATTAATCTGCAGTTTCATTTTTATCCTATTCTGACAGTTTGATTTGACAGACACTGACCCCTCACCTCTGTACTAGCCTTTATTAAATCATACTCACAGTCACAATCATGCTATTATTCTGTCATGATTACCTGAAACTATTCAGCACTCTTGCTAGTGATATTTAGGGTTTACTGACTATTTTAACACTAAGTAATTGAAATATTTGATGTAGCCTAAATCTAAATTTAAATCTTAGTAGGCTTCATAAATCTTTATAAATCTAAATAGGCTATAGCTTAATATAGCCTAAGGCTTTATCTAAAATGTCAAAAATGAATAGAACATGCAAATTAGGCAATTAATAAGGCCAGGTGGAAATTAAATTTGGAAGTTGTTTTTCTACACTCTAGACTAGGCTGTATTTTATTATGAGTGTCCCATTTGATTCGCTCACAGAGGCAAAAGAGTTAAAAGTCTCATGGTGAGACTAGGCAATATTGTCACTCCGGCCCATAAAAAAAATGTGTATTGGAGGAAAGAGAACAAAGAAATCATTGCATATAAATAAGTGCAGTAGGCTATCTGCAGCAGCAGTCGTTCACAGGCATCGCGCGAGCTTGCGCCGCAGCCTTCTCAGACACTTCCACTTAAAGCAGCGGAGCTCGAAGATACAGGAGGAGGATGCGGGTCTCCGGGCTTCTGTCAGGCGCTTTCGCTCTGCATGTGCTCCTGACCGTGAGATGCACGCCTTTGCATGAGGGACGAGGACTCGTGAAGCACAACGAGCCTCCGGTGAGTTTATTAATGCACACATTTGATGCGTTGTTTCATTCTACACTCTTAAAAATAAAGGTGCTTCACGATGCCATAGAAGAACCTTTTTGTCTAAATGGTTCCATAAAGAACCTTTAACATCTGAAGAACCTTTCTGTTTGACAAAAGGTTCTTTGTGGCGAAAAAAGGTTCTTCAGATTATAAAAAGGTAATAAAGAGATGGTTCTTTAAAGAACCTATGACTGAATGGTTCTTTGTGGAACTAAAAATGGTTCTTCTATGGCATCGCTTGAAGAACCTTTTGAAGCACCTTTATTTTTAAGAGTGTAGCTCTGGAAAACGCTGCTCTAGCGTTGTAACTTGCTACAACATTTTGAGTTTTGAGTTTGTTTAAAGTTTTACTTTTGAATGTTTAATAAAATACATTTTATTTTACTTTCATGCTGCATGGCAAAAGCATGAACAAAGCAAAATTTGATAAGTTTTGGCTTGTTACAATTATTGTTATAATTCAAAATCGTAAAACAGCGTCTGCAGCCTCTACATTTACAAGCCAGAACCTGTCAATTTCATCTGGGTTTGTTCACTTTTTTATGATTTAGATTAAGTAAATGATGCTTATGAGAGCCGTTAATTTGATCTCATTTAACTGTTTAACTGCCATTAAATGCTCTTGATAAAAGTTTTTTTTTTTCCAATTTAAAATATACTCACAGGCTTACAGTTTTCTGTTTATACCCTTTATTGGACATGTTTGTTTGATTGTTAAAATGGCCTAATCTACCTGTCATCACATTCCTAAAACTGAGGAATGGATTTTAGTGTTGTTTATTATGACTCAGGTGTAAAACTTAAACATAATGTTGTCAGTTTGTTCTCTCAGCGATGACAAAAGAGCGAGGGATTGTGCAGGCATGGGCAAGTTTGTCTTTTCTGTGCCATCTGGAGGGTCACACACTCCCTCACTCTCACACATGCACGGATGCATATCCTATTGTAGAGAGAATTTAGGGAATGTGATAGTCTTCTCACAGAAATCGTGCTGTCCTTTTTCCTGGCACGATTATTTCGGCCCCTTGCTCCCAGACACGTCATCTGCTAAAAGAGAATAGAATATGATCTCACAGTGTTTTTGACCCAGTCACTGGGAGCAGAAAACACTGCAAAGAAGGAGGCTCTAGGACACTCATTTATACAGTTTATTTGAGGTTAATATATGCAGCTTAAATATTTACACCACTTGAGGCAAGTAATTTTCAATTAACTTTAGTTAAGGTTGAATGCCTGAACACAAGAAGCATAAGAAACACATAAAAGTTGTCATATCCACAGGTTAAGCATTATTTGCTAGTTTATAAGTGGAGCCACAATTTACTGGTAAAAAACATCAAAATGAAAAAAATGGGCAAATAAAGACGATTGTTAATAATACACTCCTGTAGTGGGACTGTGCTGTCTAAGAGCAGTTTTATTTGGTCTGTTGGTTGTAGCGTCTGGACCAATCAAACACACAATATATATTTTGTTAGCTAGATTTAACAAATACTCTGTAACACCCCTCAGTTAACAAGCCATATGAGGACCTACGGTTGAATATTTGTTCGGATCCTCTAAAGCTTAATTTATCTTGTCATGAAGTGTTGTGATATGTTGGTGTAAGGATTAGCTTTTCTTTTTTCTCTCCCTGTCTGATGTCTGTAAACCAGATTGGACAGTGACCCAGATCTTTGATCCTGCACTCTACCCATCCAAAATCTGTTTGTTTTTTTTAGGGTCGAAAGACTAATTTAGCACTTTTGATCAATGTGGAAAGAGGAGGGGTCGACAACTATCATACTAAATCAAACAATATTCCAGCATGCATGATCCATTTACTTCAAGTACTATAGTTTATCATTTCATGGAGACCTTTACTCAGTTGGTCCTGAAGTTATGAGTTATGATTTAGATGTTTGTTTCTTAAAGGTGATGTGTGTAATTTCCGTGGTAATAGTCACCAAACTGAAGAAAAAATAATGATTGTTTCCAAACAGGTGTTCAGTACAAGTTTAACTCAATTAATAGCATTTGTGACAAAGGTGATTACCTGAAAAAAAATTCAACTTGTTCCTGCATTCTTTATAAAAAAGCATAAATCAAGGTTACAGTGAGGGACTTAAAAATAATTTAAAAGGAGAAATGTAAGCTTAACATTTTATAGTTACATAATTTTTTCTTTAAAACCTGCATTACTTGCACAGTAGATTTCTCTTAATTTTACGGTTATTTTACACCATTATGTTTGTCATGAACTAAATTTGAAAAACGAGATATACATATACATAGTAAAGGTTAGTCAGTGATTTTTTTGAATGAATACACACATGTAGATTAGAACTTGTGACTACACTATTAAAACAGTGGCTGCATTCAAATATGCATACTTCCCTACTATATAGTATGTGAAAAACAGAATGTGAAAAGTGCTTCACTGTAACCCAAATTTTTGCTTTTTTAAAGAAAGGGAAATGTAGAAATAATTTTTTTGTCATCAACATTATGCCACAATTGCTGCCAATTGAGCGTAACTTGTACTGAACCCAGAATATTCCCTGAAGTAAAAATAAAAATGTTTTGATAGCTCAACAGAACATTTACATGTTTTGAAAAATCAGTCTGCAAATTGATTTATTTACAGTTGAGTTGTATCTGTATTGGCATATGGGATAGGTGAAAGTGTTACACAAAGTTAAGCTTTAAATCACTGTTTTGCTACTGAAAGTGGCTTGTTGAGTTTGTTAAAAGCAATGACAAAAATCCTAAAAAAATTAATCCATTATGCAACACGAGCACCTCACATTTTTTTGCAACATAATGGTCGCATATTCACACAATATCGCTCTTTCTTGTCAATCTTGCTAAACAAAGGCCACTGTTTTGGAACAGTTCAGATATCATTAGCTTGATCTCAGTGAATCTGGATATCTGCTGGTGTTTTTACTGTAGGACAGAGTTCTGGAGAATAGCACATAGGGGCAAACATGGCTCTCAGATGCACTCTTATCAGGAGTGGGAGCTGAAAGCATGTGTTAACACAAGAGACATGGGAGCTCTAGGCCAGGACAGGCAGTTTTGTATGAGTGAGGCTCAAGCACAGACCTACACTGGCAAATTTAACCATATATGAAAGGAGAAAGCAGCATTTATAACTTTGCTTTGTCTGGGGGGCTTATCTGAATCATAAATTATGTCAAACTACAGGCAAAACGCTGACTCAAAATATTTCCAGCATTAAAAAAATGAATCAGAAAGCATTGTTGGCTAGCTTTCAAACTCACTGAGACAAGTTTTTCTCTCCCTGTCTGTGAACCTATGAATTTTGATTCCACTCTAAAAATATATTTTCAGTAGCTTTAGGGTCAGATGGTTCATTTAAACAGTGCTGATAACAGTGGACAGCTACATTCTCACACTTATTTCAAAATTCACTCTGATCTTTGCAGAAAAAAGTAGCAGAAAAAAAAACATTGTATTCCTTTCCACATCATGCCACTACCTGTGTGTATTTAAAATGAAATTGTGTTGCTTTAATCTCCTCAGACATTTAATGAAATAAACTGCTTAAACTTTGGGGATTCTGTTTTGGCAGAACATCAAGATACCTTGGGCAATGCTTTCTCTATAAATTATTACACACACACACACACACATAAAATAGCAACCTATTGTGTTGACTTCATTTCCCCCTGCATAATAAAGCCAAATGTGTCCTAACTTGCCCTGCATTTTTGAGAAGTGGGTCAAACACATATACGTTTGAACTGGAGTTCTTGAAACTTGCATTGTATGAACAATGCAGAAAGCACCTCATCTTTGTGTGTGCCAGATGTGGAATGTGTGTGTTATTACAGGGTAATGGCAGATCTTGCCCACTCATAGGTCAGAAGTCACAATGCAGTTGGATGTTATGATGACATAAACAACTGAGAAAAGAAATTTAATCAAGCATCTGATTTGAATTTCACTTTAACATTTTGTATCCAGATTGGTCATGAGATTAGATTGAGCTGTACAGTGTAAGTATTGGTGTTCCATGAGCTGTACAAGGAGCATGTTTTTCATTTCTGTATTAAAATTATTTTTATGGCATAAAATAATAAAATATCAGGTTGATACAACTGTCCTGATGTTATAATAAAGAAATAAATATTGAAATTTCTGAAAAAAACGTTTATTTTTAATTATAAATATTAAAATAATTTAATATTTTATCAATATTTTAAGAACCTGCTTTGACTGTTTCATTGCTTATTTTAAAATACTTAATCCTATTTAAAACACTAAATCAAAGTAATGTGGTGCACCAACAAGCAGAATCATGCAGGGGGGAAAAACCATAAAACAGGAAATTATGCTTTCTAGGTCAATATGTATCTTAAAATATCAGAGTCCAGGTGAAGGGAGACTAAAATGTCATGTGGTGCAACTCCCTAAAAACATAATAATTTGTAAATTAATGATTTATCATATTTGTGAAAACACCTTTACCTTGAAGATGTGTGTGTATATATATATACGTATGTATGTGTGTGTGTGTAAACTTGATTGGTTAATAATGATTAAGATGTGTTCATGTATTCAAAATACTTTTTTTTTTTGCTTTATGATACATATGAACATAATATACTGTAATGTTAAACATAATTTTAAAGTCAATAAATGTTGAAAATGGCGTTGAAAATGAACCACAACTGTCATGTTTGAAATCAGCATGCTGGTAGAAAGTCTCGCTCTGAGACCAGGGCACATTCCATAGTTCCTGCTGGGCATTGTCTCCAATATAGCAGCTCTGCCTCACGCATGAGGAGTCACCTCTGTGCCGCCATCCCTAGGAGAGAGACACGGGGTCACTGAGGGGAAAACGTTTAGCCTGTTTGCTGTTTCTTTGCAAAAGTCCTAAACATTTTACATGTTGTAAAACAAGGGCACCTTGTCAGAACTGTTTTTCCTCTTAGTCCAAAGAAAGACATGAAGATAACATACACATTTGAATATCACACTATAGAACTCATTGTAAATTCTTCAGATCGTAACATATTTAGCTTTTTGAGGTAAATGCTGATTTCATGTAAATGAACTATTTAGACATTTTTCTCTAAATGAGTAAAAGGTGAGCACTGTAAATGAAAGCTGAAACATCCTGAAGTTTAAAGCATCTATAAATGTCCAGAATTCTGCCTGAAAACGCCACAGTGCTGCCCACGGCATTTGTCTCAGTTTTTAACGCCCATGTTAATGAACAGCCATTTCCTCCAAAGAATGTTTAGGGAGTCCTAAACACTAAGCAGTCCATCCGCTATCATATCCCACAGTAAGTAAACAGCATCAACCAGGAAAGAACATGATTTTGCTTTTTGTATCAGATTAGTGTGGTTTGGCTTGTTTGTTTTTATTTAATGTTTTAACATTTACATGCAAGATGTTTATTATCATAAACTGTGGCCTTGCCAAACGGGTTCAGTATGTTTTTTTAAACTAATGTCAGTTTATCATATTTGAGACAAATAGACTTTAGTTAAATAAATATGTCAAGAGCATTTTCTGGCAATATACTTTAATATACAGTAAACTACTGTTCAAATTTTAGGGGTTGTTTAGGATTGTTTTTGAACAATGCTCACCACGGCTGCATTTATTTGAAGAAGAAAAAAAGTAAAAACAATAATATTTTGAAATACAATACAATACAATTTAAAACAACTGTTTTCTAATTGAATGTATTTTAAACTGTTATTTATTCCTGTGATGGCAAAGTTTAATTTTCAGCATCATTACTCCAGTCTTCAGTGTCACATGATCCTTCAGAAATCCTTCTAATATACTGGTTTGCTACTCAAGAAACATTTCTTCTCAGAAATCTTTCAGTGTTCCCATGGGGGGATGAAAAGTGCCACAAAATTGTTAAAAATGTATTTCTCCAATACACAACTTTTAGTGGAGAAACATGCTTTTTGTCTGCATAATGGTGTAGTGATGATAACTAGCTAACCAGTATTAGCATGGGTAATATCCTTCAGCAAATTTGTATAGTGATTGTTGCCATTCAGTTCATTCCTTCTTTATATCGCAGGGTTTATCGCAGATTCATCATTCCCTCTCTGAAAAGAGGAGAGACAGGGTCCCCCACCCTCAGGACACCTTCAAACCTCAAGCATGGCCAAAAGATGAGCCACAGCTCAACACCCAGCTCAAGAACAGCCCCGGGGGTGCAGGTCCACTGCGCTGTGGCGTCCCAGACTACCCTGACCAGAGAGAGGTGCATCTCAGCAGGCACCCCCGACAGAAACGCTTTGTGATTTTTGGAGGACGCTGGCCAAAAACTGACCTCACTTACAAGTAAGGTGTACAAGGAAATCAAGATCATTCATTATAATTCTAAGTAATATATACACCATTTTTTCTAGTGTGCCTACTGCATTTTAAATTATGGGAGGCGCTTGAGAGGAGAAGTTCCACTCAAAAAGACTGAAATTATTTCAATTTATTAAATTGTAATTGTACAAATAATCCATATTTTTTCAGTTTGACCGAATAAGTTAAGTCTATTCTATCTGCTGCATTATTTCCCTCCTCATGATTTATTTTTTCTTTTGTAATCTGCTGTAACGATATGAAAAAAGGCAACATATACTGTGCATTTGTTGTCTGTTCTCCTGATTAAATTACAATATACTGTATCTCATGAATAATTCACTAATAATTCACAATAATTATTGTGAATTATTAGATGTGAGAAACAGATGTGAACAATAATTCACATCTAATTTTTCTCCCCAAATCCACGTCTTATTCCAGGTTTGATATAATAATATATAATTATTATTTGCTTATTATTAGCTTATAAATCAACTGTGTAACTTTAGTGTGTAAGCTTAGTCCTACTTCATGGTATTCCATGTGCACCAAGTAACTGAAAGTATCTTGTTACGATGGTTGATTTTAATTATTTAATAATAACAACAACAACAACAATAATAATAACCATTTAGCTTTCTAATAATCTTGGAATTGTATACTATGAAAATTGCTGGCACAATGACAAATGGTGGCACAGTGCCTGTCTGTTTTCATCATAACAAAAGGGTCATTTTTGTCCTTATTTAATATCTGAATAAACGATAATGTTTGTGTGCTGATAGCACTTTCTATTTTTGTTCTGATCATGCTTACAGCAGTCAGTGTATGTGGAGGAATGCAGAGACATTATAGCCAGACCTTTGAAGGAGAAAAGGGTCGTCCCTGAGAGAGTAGTAATCAGCAACATTTGTACAGGAATCTATTCACAGGCAGCACAGTGTGGATGCATCCGGTTGAAGATGTAGGATACTCAATTTTCTTTCTGAGGTCTTGTTGCTCTCCATTGTTCTTTGTGTACTATTTTAATGGCTGAATAGTACAGAGGCATGCATTGTGTATTAGAATGGGGCATTATAAGATAAACGAAATGTTTTTGAAGGAAAGTGTGTGTGTTTATATGTGTGTGTGTGTGTGTGTGTATATATATATATATGTGAATATATATAAACACACAGCGTCACACACGGCGAGCTAGAGTGAGCGGAGGCCGGCTTGAGAACGGCGTGGCCGGCGGATTCGACGAAGGAGCGGCCGACGGGCTTGCAGCAACCACATGTGACGACCCCGGGCTGGACTCCGCTTCATCCACGGTGAAAGCCGATCCAGCGATCCACAGCGCGAAGTTGATGTATTTCCTCAACGACCAACACGGATTAGCTCCAGGCATAACGAAGCGGATATCGTCCTCTTTTGGAAGGCCAAACAAAGTAGTTTCGCTTTTACAACGAAACACACAGCGCCTTCACGACATGGCGGCGGCGGCAACAACAATACTACAGCGAGAATAAAAGTTACGCTTTCTTTCTTTGCGTGAACATTTGGGCGGCGTTATGCAAATCTTCCCACATCGTGACGTAGACATGTGGGGGCGTGTTAGAACGAGCCGTTTTAGGTAGGTGTGGCTGACTCTTAACTTTTATAAAGAATATCTTTTTGGATTTGAGACTTTAGTCTTTGCAACTTTACAGATCTTCTTTATGCACCAAGAGCTTGTAACACTCCAAAGAGAAAGGAAAAATTGAAATCGCATCATATGACCCCTTTAAATTGTGTTCCGATTACGGGTTTGGAACTACATGGGGGTAAGTGATTAATGACAAAATTTTCATTTTGGGGTGGAGTAACCCTTTAAGTTCCTATTAACTTGAGCTTAACTTGAGCTATGTGGATTTGTACTGCTGTTCAACACAAATATTTGAAGAGTGCTCACCTTTATGTAAATGACTGTAATAAAAGGTTAGTAATGCCCAAATTGTAAGTGACGATCCAGATTAATCTGATACGTGTCTGAGGTAACAGGATCCCTGGAGGGTGAGTTCTGCTCCTGTCAGAGAACTGCGTCATGAAGCTACACATAATACCACTGAAACCACAGTTTCATTATGCTCATAAAACAACCATTCAGAGCACATTATGAGATCATGTGACATGCTCACCAGACAGATACCTATGGTGATCACTGGTCATATGAATCACTGGTGGTTTCTGATGTGGGTTTGTGTCGGTTGGTGGTCCAGCAGTGCAAGGACCAGTGGTCTGTAACACAATGCGACACACACACTGCAGGGGCAAACGTGTGTTTTGTTGATAAACTTTGAGTATGACTGTGTCTATGTGTGTTCAGAATCCAGCGTTTCCCATGGCAGATGAGGGAGGATAAAGTAAAGCGGGTTTTACAGGAAGCTCTCAAGGTTTGGAGTGATGTCACACCCCTCACCTTTACTGAGGTTATCAGCCAAGAAGCCGACATAGTCATTGACTTTGCAAGGTAACAAAAAAAAATCATCCTTCAATATGCCTAGGTGTAACAGAGTGAAGCAGTTTAAGTCATTTTTGCTTTTGGTCTCTGGCTCCTGTTCATCTTCCTAAACTGATATGATAGTAGTCTGGTGAATTTCATATTGACACCTGAGTGCCATGCAAAATCATATTCTCAGTTATAGTCGTTTTGAAAATACCCTCTTCACAGGTGTATTTGTCATCCTTGATTAATTGATCCTGCAAACAAATACAAGGGTTACAAAATAAAGTGAGTACTAGTGTAGTATTCAATATAGTATTATAGTATAGTACAACACAGAATAGTAAAGTAAAATATAAATTATGAAATTACTGTAAAATATAAAATATATAGTATAATACAGCAGAGTATACAATTTAGTATAATAAGTTTGGGACTTGTGTATCTCACACGAGTCTACATTACTTAACACGGAAATATTTGTCATATTTCATATAACAGATTTTCATATTTATGTCTTTAGGTATACAACCAAAGAAATTAATAAGTGAACAAATTTTAAATATATCACATATCAAATCATATCACATCCAATAGTTCTTAATGTCAGTCTATTTTCTGCTATGTTAATACTGGCAGAAAATAGTTAAAGGGGTCATATGATGCTTTTTTAAAGATAATTTTTTTGTGTATTTGGTGTAACAGAATATGTTGACATGCTTTAATGTTCAAAAAACACATTATTTTTCAAATACTGTACATTATTGTAGGTCCTCTATGCCCTCTATGACATGGCTGCTTCAACACTAACTGCGGTTACTGAAACCACACCTTCTTTCTTTGCGTGCACATTTGGGCGCATTATGCAAATATTTCCACATAGTGACCAAGATATGCGGGGGCGTGTTAGAACGAGCCGTTTTAGGGGGGTGTGGCAGAGTCTTAACTTTGATCAAGAATATCTCTTTGGTTTTGAGACTTTAGTCTTTGCAACTTCAGGGATCTTATCTATGCACAATCAGCTTGTAACACTCCAAAGAGAAAGGAAAACTTGAAATCGCATCATATGACCCCTTTAACACTGAATATTTAGTTCAAGTCACACGTATAAATGGGGAATGTAGTGCTTTAACTTGTTTATTTTTATGTGATAGTCCTACTGTGATGCAAAGATATTAAATAGTGAGTATATATATATATATATATATATATATATATATAATTACATATATATGTGTGTGTGTGTTTTCCATATAAGGTACTGGCATGGTGATAATTTGCCCTTTGATGGCCCCGGTGGAATCCTGGCTCATGCTTTTTTCCCGAGAACACATCGGGAGGGAGACATTCATTTTGACTATGATGAGTCCTGGACGGTTGGCAATGAACTTGGTAAATTGCAGAATATTCATCTTACTGCTTCACTGCCTGCCACTCACTTGGAAATCTGGAAATCTCAAATACAGATAACACACATTGTAAAGGAATGAATCAGTGAATGTATTATAGATTCTGTTTTCAAAAAATTACTTGGAAAGTTTGGATACATCTCTAATACGTTTTAAGTTTTTTGCATATTTGGCTCCAACCATAAACCCAGTCCACATCCTTATGGGATTTGACAGATTAAACTGATTAAAGCGATTAATATGTTTTTTTTATCATACAAATGCATGACATCATACAAGGTTTGTGTTATTTTAAGGTTGCTGCACCTTTTGAGTTCATGGTGAGATGTCACCATAGACACGAGCAAAGGCAAGATGTCTGGTTTTCCGTCCTCTCAGTCCACACAGACAGCTACTCTCAGCTGTTGAATGAGAAAGTCTTCTGGCATCACACTGACACTTACATCATTACTACAGAAACCGATGTAGATGCACCAGATGTTGATGACCCTGTCTGAACAAACAGATCAGAACAAACAAAATGACAGTCATTCCTTAAGATCAGATATAAAAGCCAAATCAGATTTGTGTGAAAATGCCTGATTTTAAATGTCATTCTACAGGAACTGATCTTCTTCAGGTGGCAGCACATGAGTTTGGTCATGTCCTGGGTCTACAGCATTCTCTGGAGCCTGGAGCCTTAATGTCCCCATTTTACAGCTTCTCTTATCCTCTCCAGCTCAGTGAGGATGACAAGAAAGGGATTCAATACCTCTATGGCCCCCGGCTGCAAGCCTCGGTCCAAATCCCTACAGAAACCAATGAGATTATCACCAGTGCAGTGAGTCACCGAACATTTAAACATTGAAAAAATTACACATTTAAAAGCAATATCAACAGCATTGCCATAATGTTGATTACCACAAAAGATTAAAAAAAATAAATAAAAATTGAGATTACGTTGAGGCTCTTACAAATGGAAGTAAATGATAATATACTCACTGTTTCAATAGACTAAAGATGTTAACAATTACATTTTTTATTGAGTTATTTGTCAATTTAACCTTAATTTTATTTTATTTTTTTAGAGAAAACCAGAGGAAATTCATAATTATTTTTTGTGGTAATCATTATTAATGTTATAAATATATTGCAATTGTATTGTATTATAATTATTATTGTATTAAGCCCAAAATATTCCTAAAACATCACATATTTTAAATCAGTTTGTGCCCTTCATTCTCACTTACGTTATCCCATCTCCTCTCGCTGTCACTGTTTGTAGCCTGATTCTTGTCACACAGACTTCGATGCTGTGTCTGTAATCCGTGGGGAATTGTTCTTCTTCAAGGCCAGCTATGCCTGGCGCATCAGGGAGGGCCGTCTGCAGGCGGGATACCCTGCCCTGGCCTCTCGACACTGGAGGGGCATTCCAGAGAATATAGGCGCCGCCTATGAAGACAAAAAGGGCAATATCTGGTTCTTTGAAGGTGGGTGAGTTCAGCACCAGTGGCTGACTGTGGTGATTTGTGGTTGGAGGACAGGATCAGACAGGCCTGGTTATATACATATCTATGGTGGCGCGGTACTTCCCCTTGACCCATATCTGAAGCATCCTGCTTCATCCTGTGCCTCTAATGCAGGGCATGATAAAACATGAGCACACAGAACACATGCTACTAACAACAGATAAATATATGTGTTGTGCAGTGCAGTACCAAAACAGTACTGTACATTTATAGGTGGTTATTGTATCTCAGATGGAACTTGTGAATTTCACAGAATGAAATGTATCATTTCAAGATTGAAAATTTGGGTTAAACTTTACTCTGTGCATTTAGAACAGGAATAGCATTGGTTCAGTGAGTCAAACATGTGGTATGTTGATGTGAATGTACTTGATTATGATTATCACTCGAGACAATTTTATAGACAAAAGGTGTTTGTGGATCCTTAAAAAGCATTAAAACATCTTAAATTCACTTTTCCATAATTTATGGCCATAAAAGTCTAAACATGCCATTTTGTGATCTGTATAACATTTAAGATTATTTACTGTCTCTAAAAAAATAATCTCTAAATAATCTAAGCCATTTTAGAATATTGAATATCATTCAAAAGCTGAAAAATATCAGAACCTTTTTATTTTTTATTTAATCACCCAGCAACTGGACGTTTAAGTTATGACATGACATTTTGATTAAAAATTACAAGGTCAAAAAAA